AAAGATAACTAATAAATAAAAAAAAGTATAAAAAATGTTAAACATAATAAAATATAATCATAGCAGAGACTTACCAATTTCTTTTTGAGCGATGGACGTTCACGCAAAATCCTTTCGTAGAAATGCAAAGTGTTATACAAATAAGTAATGGGGCGATCTGAGCAGAAAAGTACAAAACTAATTTTAAAAAATTCAAGTAAACTAATTATACACAACAACAACATACCGTGGAATTTGTATAGAATGCTTAGATGATCCAATATAACCTCACATATTTGATGCACATGCTGTATGGGCAATTCAATAAAACGATGCACGACAATATCCAATACTGGTAAAAATCTCAGGCATACATTTGAGAAGTACACCGGCAATGGTGGATGAGAGGCCGATTCGTCGGGTGCGAATTTTTCGGGATACTTCTGATGGAATTGCAAATGCTTTTCGTGCCTGAAAGTGTATATGAAATGAGATGAAGTTATTTTTCAAATTTTGATTAATGAAATAGAAATATTTTTTTGAGTTTCGCACAACAAATTAACCCACCAGTTGTTCTGTTTCCAGTGATCGGGATGATTCTCTTTGCAAAACTCCTGTATGCGATTGCGCAACTCCGATGTTTTCAATAACAACAATTGTATTATGAGGAAGCACACCTGCGCTTCGTTGCCTTCTTGTGTGCGCAGAGCCAAACAGAGTACCACGCGATCAATGGTAACAATATTATACTTCCAAATCATGTTATTTATGGTGTCGACACATTTGTGTATAAAATCCTTGCCATTACTATTGGCCACCTCACCGACTAAGTAATCGCATAGCTTGCGCAAATGTGCTGATAATGCGCGTGCGCTAATGCCTTCCAAAATTCTGCAATGAAAATATAATTAAAATCTCAAAAAAATAAAGTTCTTATTTTTGTTAAATTACTTGTAGGCGACTGGACTGACGTTCTCCGTTTCCCAGATCATTTTGAAAAGCAGACAGAGGAAAAGTGGATTGGTGCTCGGGCGTATAAAATGATTTATAATATCATTATCGTTCGACATGGAAGTCCAGTTACGATATTCCTCTTCAACAGATTTCTTCAGCAATTGCTTATTCTCCAGCGGATGATTATTTTGCACGAAGAACTCATTCAAAGCGGGCGGAAAGCAGGCTAACGAGTGCGAGGCCCAAGAGTGTGGCGTATTTTGCATGATTACGTTGAGCAGCTCTTTGCACCAGGGCTGCAATTCATCGCCTACGAATGGGAAAGTAAAAATATATGGTGAATATAGCATTAAAATTGATATAAGCTAACAAACCTAGGCCAGTCATATGCATTGAACGTGCCAGCGTTAGTATGAGCACGCGATTCAGCTCCTCACTTTCGCTGGAAGCGACAGAGCCAGGTGGTTTCTCGCTGAAATAGCGTGACATTTGTGGCTGCATCTCAACAGAACCCAAACCAGTGATGAGACGCAAAGCGGTTGATTCAAAGCTGCAATGGAAAGTTACATATTTTTTCGATTTATAACGTTATCACGTTATTTTTGTAAATATTTACCACAAATTCAATTGCATTTTATTGGTTTGCGGCGAAACGACTGTGCAGTGTGAGAGCAATTGCAAGCGATATTGCGTTGGTATGTGATGGAGGCGATATAGAAACATTTCTAGCAGCGTATGAAGAATACCCCAGGCCTGGTGCTTGAAGACAGCGGGAAGCAATTGCTCTAAAGAAATAAAATATTGAAAATTTTCAAAAATATTAAAGATAAATTTATTGTGCAGAGAAACTTACGCAGGAAGCCTTTGATGCCTAGTGATTCGATTTCTGTATAAACCAAAAGACGAGCATAAGTTTCAACCAAAGCGGGTGTTGGTATGGAGCTCTTAGCTTGCGCTTGCTTTATCATCTGCGTAAAAAAGCTACAAAAGTACAATAAAAAAAAAAATTATTCAAAGAAATTGTTAGTACGCACGCGTATTTCTCACCTGTGTATGAGCGACATCTTGCTGTGTACCGTTAAACTATCCAACACAACCATAGAGAATGGCGCGGGTGGCACTTGACCACCAGCTGCAGTTTTGGCATTGCCATTTAACGTTTCGGTGAGTATATTCATGGGACGTGAGAAATATTCTTGATTTGTAGAATATGCATTACAAATCAGTATGATACGAAAATCATTGCCCAAACTCATGGACATCAGTGTATTGGGCATAACCAAATGTTGCAAGAAACTATGAATGAGCAGTGCTATTAGTGATATACAATGTTTTTTTTTAAGTGATTTAACATACTCATGATGATTTTTCAGCGCAATCGGCAATGGTCTATTAATGCTCATATTCTCCAACCTAGCTTTCTTCATCAGGTGTATCCAAATGCAGATGGGCGCCATCTGAAATTTGCAAATCCACATTTCAGATATTTTATTTTCATTAAAATGATTCACTTACCTGACGCAATAACGAAGATTTAGTGCAGTCTGGCAGTTTCAAAGGCTCCTGCTCGGGATAGAGCAAGTCGAAGAGCTTGAAGGTTGGCAGAAAATTGGCAATCTATGCGTATGTATATAAAAGGAAATAGCAGTTAACTTGTTTTCAATAAATTTTCAAGCTACTTACCGGATTTTTTTGTATGCTGCCTGATATAAATTGCAACAGGATCCACATAAGTTGATCGCGACCCTTACGCAGCTCTTTTTTTGAAAGCTGCAAGAAGCAAAATTGTTAGTTGTCAGTTGTTGACATAAATCCAAACATTTCTCACCTTTTCATATAAAGCCGACACTATGTGTGCAAAACTGACAAACTGAAAGAGCACAAAATATATCAGTTGCGACGACAGATGCAACCATACCCATTCATTCATGGAGTTCTGTTCTTCGTAAACGCTAAAACTGCTACCCATCATAGACTCATTGTTTTCAGTCATTTCCATTGCCGAAATGATTAAATTAACTAATTGATCTTCGAGTTTATAGCAACGTTGCTTTTGTTGTTTCTGTAAGCTCATCATCACCGATACCATTTCCTTGGAATACGGTTGATCCAGCACATAACGTAAGAGCTTTGTTTGTTCTTCGAGCAAATCGGAATCATAAGGTAGACTTCCTTTAAAAACGAAACGCAATGTATTCGGATCTAATTTCCAAGAATTCATCATATGATCTGCATAACCAAAACTCTCCACAATGGGCAACATATGTGAGTGACCAATGATTGACACCATTTGTGCGGTTCTGCGGAATTCCTCCATGAAATCGGTCATCATTTTGTTAATAGTCTGCATGTAACAAAAATTAAAAATTAATATAGTTGAAAAGTTATATATCTTTAAAAACTTACCCAGTGGTATGGTGGTGGCTTCATGATTTCGTTAGCGATAAAATACCCTGGCAGCAAGCAATTATTACGATCAAATACGTAATTTAGCGTATCCTTTAATGCCTGCAGTTGCGGCAAGAAGCTAACGTTTATATTCACCGGAAATGTTTGCGCTTTGTCACGGCACATCTGTAAATATAATAATTATAAGGCAAGTATCCAAATCAAAAAAATTTTTCTTATTTTACCTTCATTATTTCGCGAACGCCTTTGTAGTCCACCAACGGCAAGACGCGTTTAATTAGTTTGAAACTTTCAATCCAAAAACTTGAATTCTCATAAACCAAACGATCGCAGAGGAAAATCTTATCACAAAGCATTCTGAAAACCGAAAATCAAAAACGTTTTGTAAAAAATCAAGAAAATGGAAAACCATTCGAAGTCACCTTGCAGTTATAACATTAGTCTCTGCGAGCTTTCCTAATGTATTCATAAGCACACGCAAGTGCGAAATATTAGTTGCGCTTGCAGCGCGTTGCAAATACTGCCGCACCAAACCCTCTTTGTTATCCTGTGGTACCTCTTTGAATTTGCTCACTACATATTTACATATGGCATATCGATGAAAGAAAATTATTATTATTCACTACAAGTAATATTCATTTTTTCCTTTACTTACTTATACTGTCGGTAAATGAGGCGGATTTATCCTCCTCGCCATTTGGTTTATATACAATAACACTGAGGAACGCTTCCTCGATTGGTTCCACCTTCTGTAAAACATATATACATATACACATACATATGTAAACACTTGTTGTTTTATCTGTGGCTGCAAATGCAATTTACTTACCAGAAAACTGTTTACTGCTTCCAATATTTCCGTGTCCATTTTGTAGTCTTTAAGTTATTTATGGATTTTTTTTTAAACCAAACCTCAGTCTATTTAAAAACTGGCTAAATGAAGGCAGGATATATTTACTCTAGACCGGCTATGCAGAGAAATTGCATTTACAGATGTTGACTACCAAACAAATGTTTTGTTGACTTGTAGAGGTTGCCAGACTGATACATTTAATAATTCCCTAATTTCATTAACAGCGCCAATACTAAAATAAAAGAGCTGAACTTTTTGATTTTTATTTATATATATGAAAATATGAAATTTAATAATTGTTATTTAATTAATTTTTATTCACATCCTAAAACTATCCAATATTTAAATATAAATCAGCACTCAATATTTGAGTCTACTCTGCAAAAAAACCCGAAAATTGCAAACTGCTCAGCAAATGGCAACTCTATGCTTGTTTAGCTATGCAACCCTCAACACATTTCTCTTTTGAACACTCTGTAATTTCTCTTTATATTTAATGCTTTCAAGACGGTGTTTGTTTTTGCCTGTACTAGTGTAAATTTATCTTTGCCGGAGAAACTTGTGAATTTTTATTGCGTTTCGCGTTTGAATTATTTTCACAGCATCCGTAAAGACTAATAAATTTTGTACTATTATCAAAAATTTAGCATGGTGTGGGGATTTGTGACTTGTGGTCCGAACGAGGCGCTTGTGGTTTCAGGTAAACTTTTTTAACCTCAGTAAAACTTAAATTCTAATTGGAAATCTAATGGGTGCGAAGAAAGTGAATTTATAAGTGACGTCATTTGGTGTTATTGATTTTTTGTGTGCTTTGCTGCTCAAAAGTGCCAATTAAATTCTTTAGATTTTTATGTGTACAAGTATTTATGGTTATTAGAATTTATAATTAAGCAGTTTTTGCATATCTATTTGTGAGTTGTCTTCGATGTTAGTGAAAATGACCTTCAAAAATTAAAACCGCTCGCTTAGGGTGTCCAAGTAGCCAGTGGTTACTGAAATCGTTTTTAAATGCAAACATATTGCTGTATGATATATTAAATAAATATGTATGCATGTACAAGTTCTTTGCAACAAGCGGTGCCTAACAAGTGGTTCCTAAGTCACGGGGAGTACCTACATTGGCGAGATAAGCCATAAATACGTTTCACAATCGAATAAATGCAATATTTATATAGGTTTGTGTGTATTGCTTTGTTATAAATACATATATCTGGCCCTTACCGCAACAGGCGTTAATCATGATTATTTTTTTGTAAAATATTTAGAGCTGTAAATATAAACTATTTAGGGCAAATCAAAATAATAACTTTTTATGTAGGATATATTAAGTTTGCCACGAAGATAATATTGGAGATCATATAAAGTATATATAGTATATAAATGAACAGTCATGTGAATTACCCACAGAGATGGCTTATTTCATTGGTATTCTTTGAAAAGGCGGAAAACATTCTCCTATTAATAGGATTTAAGGACTAATTTCATAAATTTGTTATAAGATTATTCAGCATTTGTTTTGATATTTTAATATAATACATAAAATAATGTTTATAGATAAATAAAAATGTATTCCTCTTTACAAATTTAAAGGATGTTGTTATATGAAACCCCTACTGGTGCCCGGTGGGCGTGCCTTTGTGTGGCCTACTATACAACAGGTGCAAAGGTAAGATTTCTATTTGAATTCTATTATAAATAATTATATTGTAAATAATCTGTATAAATCACATCACATAGAATTTCACTCAACACCATGACCCTGCAAGTGGAGAGTCCATGTGTCTATACCAGTCAGGGTGTGCCCATTTCGGTAACCGGTATTGCACAAGTTAAAATTCAGGGTCAAAACGAGGATATGTTGCTGACGGCATGCGAACAATTCCTCGGTAAGGGTGAATCTGAAATCCAGCATATAGCTTTGGTAACGCTGGAAGGACATCAGCGTGCTATTATGGGCTCCATGACGGTTGAGGAAATTTATAAAGACCGCAAGAAGTTCAGCAAACAAGTATTTGAAGTGGCTTCGTCGGACTTAGCTAACATGGGCATAACTGTAGTATCTTACACCATAAAAGATATACGTGATGAAGAGGTGAGTTTGAGAGTGCAAAAATTTCCTCAGTTTATTGTTGCATATGTACATATACCCATAAATACTTGCACCATAAACACTAACAAATATAATAGATTATATGTATGTAGCGATGAAGATCGGTTATATATACCATTTATTCCAGCATTTTTTAGTTGATTCCGTAAGAATTGCAATCATATTTTGTAGTATACAATTTATTTCTACTAACCGCACATTTTAGTTGCTGTTATTTTTTTAATTAATTTGTATATATATTGTAGTTTTATTTATTTACAATTTGGAAATATTATTATTATTATTTTAGTTTTTGGTTATTGCATTTTTTTGTAATTTAAGTCTGAATGAGTTATATTTGAAATTTGGTTTATATTATTTTTACTTTTTTATATTTAATTAAACCTTCTTAAATTTTTATTCTTATTATTTTTTTTTTAAATGCAAACTTGCTGCATTACTATTTTTTTTTTAATTTCTGTTGTACTTTTATAATATATTATATAGGCATTTGTTATAATTCAATTACAGCTCTAGCGTATTCCAGTAATTGATTACAAATTGTATAAAGTAGTCTAGTTTGATTGAATTTCAGCTCAAATTAATCTCTTCTTTTTTTCGGAATGGTGAATGCATACATACTTAATGTAATTTTTTACAAATTACGTTATTCGTAATGAAGGGTGACTCAAAGGTATGTTTAATATAAGTACATATTACGCTTTTTTTGGCAGTAGTTGTTTTTGTAAATCATATATGTGAGTTATATTTCAAATTTATTTCTAAACTACTTAATTATTAATACTGCTTCTTTGCTTATTGTTTTTAAGAATTTGTTATGCCAAAATATATAATAGTATATATAAACAAATAAGTGTGTAACTGCAATTTAAGGGGTTATATCCACTTGTGAATTTCAAAAAGTCAAAATTTTTATTTACATATATTACACATGGAATGCACATAAGTATATTTGAAATTATCTATAATTTGAAGGAGATGGGAGCCAATTCCCACCGAGTCCGTTCCTACAGGGTCAGGCGCTCTGCGATATTGTTTTGCACAAGCAACAATTCACTACAACGTGCCCGGCCACCAGTTGTTTCTCCACGGCGCTGGATTCGGTTTATAGTTTCGGAAATATGAGCGTATTTGTAAAAATTTTTGAACTTAGTGTAATCGGCTTCTAAGCTTTAAACGTTTTTTCTATTCTATTTTATTATTATTATTATTATGAAACGGGGTTTTCAGTCTCGGCGAGCAAAATTTCTATAAAGCGGCTGGATCTCACGACAGTCGGCTGTGGATAACCGGAACTGATCCAGATTTTTTAACCGGTTAAGAACTGTCTACTTGGCAGAATTCTGCCGCTACAACAACAACATTGACTTGAAATTTTCACACGACTTCCTTAGATGTATTTGCCAGATAATAATCAAAGGAATAAAATTTTTGACAGCAATTTCGATTTTCTGAGCCACTCGTGAAGTGTCAATTTTTTCGCTACTTTTTTTTTGGGGAAGCCTCCATTTCGTCTAAATTAAGAAGAGTCACTATCACTATCTACGGCGTTTGTAATATCCGAAGAAATATACAAACTGAACAATCGGAATAAATTTCTTGTAATGAGTCTTTAATATTTGTGGGGTAGAGGAGCTTCGGTTCCCGCAACCGAAGTCATCGTCTTTTTTATATATTTTTATTCAATAAATAAAGTCTCTATGAAAAAAATTAAAAAAAAACCGATTTTTATGACTTGAATGTGAATATAACCTCTTAATGATTTTTTCTTAAATAATTTAAGATTAGCTTAAAATAGTTTTAAATAATAATACCTAAGCTTTAGTTGACGTAATTTGCTCACTCATCGTTTTTTGTATTGTAATTATAAAAATAAATAAATATAAGTTCTGTAAAATGTTGTATTGTATTATTCTAAGCATGTTTTTTCTGTAATGAAGGCCGCGTACGAAGTTATATTACACAAAAATAATTAAATATATTTAAGCAAAGCATGTTTGCATATACATAACATAACCTCAAAATTATAACATTTGTCGTCCAAATTTGTCACCCGTTATTCGAAGAATGTAAGCATGTTTTCCTCCTTTAAATTTTTTCCTATTGTCCGCACAACTTAAGAAAACAACTTGAGCTGTCACTGTAATTTTAACGGTATTTTTGAACTTGCAGGGCTATCTAAAATCTTTGGGTATGGCACGCACTGCCGAGGTCAAACGCGATGCACGTATTGGTGAAGCGGAAGCGCGTTGTGATGCGCACATCAAGGAAGCCATTGCCGAGGAGCAGCGTATGGCATCGCGTTTCCTCAATGACATCGAAATTGCCAAAGCGCAACGTGACTTCGAATTGAAAAAAGCCGCCTACGATGTAGAGGTACAAACGAAGAAAGCCGAAGCTGAAATGGCTTACGAATTGCAAGCGGCCAAAACGAAACAACGCATCAAGGAGGAACAAATGCAAGTCAAAGTGATTGAACGCACACAGGAGATTGCCGTGCAGGAGCAGGAGATACAGCGTCGCGAACGTGAACTGGAGGCCACTGTGCGCCGACCAGCTGAAGCGGAGAAATTCAGATTGGAGAAATTGGCTGAAGCCAACAAGTTACGTGTAGTCATGGAGGCTGAAGCCGAAGCCGAATCGGTGTGTTCAACACTCACATATATTTATATACATAATGTTAAAAAAAAAAACATATGTTTTTGCAGATCAAAATCCGTGGTGAAGCCGAGGCCTTCGCCATTGAAGCCAAAGCCAAAGCAGAGGCCGAGCAAATGGCACAAAAAGCTGAAGCTTGGCGTGAATATCGCGAAGCAGCAATGGTCGAGATGTTGCTGGACACACTACCAAAGGTAAAATTGTTTGCCTTTACTTTCTTTATGTTTCCAATTAATTGCAATATTTGTTTGCGTTAGGTGGCCGCTGAAGTTGCTGCACCATTGTCGCAGGCCAAGAAGATCACCATGGTCTCGAGCGGACAGGGTGAGATCGGTGCCGCCAAATTGACCGGCGAGGTATTGCAGATAGTTAACAAAGTGCCGGAATTGGTGAAGAATATAACTGGGGTCGACATTGCCCGGGTACGTTCAAACTCTGAATTTATTTAAAAGCGCCTCAATTATTTGAACGGGAAATATTTTAGTGTATATTAAGAGAAAATAACAGCTTTTGCTAATGTTAATGGCGTTGTGTACAGAAACGTGGAACCAAAAGACTTAAAAAACTCAATGAAAATAATTGTGCATTTATATACAGCAGCTCAGCGTTCAATATTTTCTTTTCAGTATACCTTGCGAGTCGCGAAGGTTTATAATTTGGTATTTGCTTTTAATAATTACATACATATGTATATTCAAGGTAGATTTAAGTAGCAGCAAAACGAAAGAATAAACCGAAAACATTTTGGTTTTGCTTTTGGCATGGCAAGTGTCGAAACGTGTCAAAAAAATTAAAAAAAGACAAACGAAAATATTTGACATTTCTGCAATTAAATACCTTGAAATTAATGAATTTCCTACCGATTTTAAAAATATATATTATAATATTGAAATTGCAACTCTGCTGCCGCTGACTTTTCAATTTGCCTTGATTTCAATGTTTAAACGCAGTTTTTAAATAACTTGTACTAAAATATTCATAGAAAAAATAATACAAACGCTTATTGCGCAACTTAAAATTTGAATGTAAATCTATATAACTGTATAAAAATAGCAAGATTTGATATAAAAATTGCACATACGGCTACATATATTAATTTTAAATTGTTTTGGGCTGCTTTACACTTACGTGAAAAAATAATTTTGAATTGAAATTTTATTTCCTTTAAGTAATTTATCATCTAAGTAATAGGAAAGTGTCAGAAAAATTTGCAACAAAGTTTAGTTTTTGTAATAAAACAAGATTTCTATTGAATTTTAAGCGGTTATATACAGTTAGAAGGCCGAAAACAAGCGAATTTTCCAAATTTTTTTCTGAGAAAATTTTTAAATTGATTGTTCTCAAATTTGTACACATATTATGGTATTTCTTAACTGTATTTTAAGACTTTGTATTATAAAAGTTATTTATTTAGAAAGCACAAAAAAAAAAAAAAAAAAAAAAATGACGACTGGCAAAAAACTCGCGTTTTGAACAAAATTTCGGCCTTAAATTGTTTATATAAAAAAGTTATTTATCGGTGAGAAAAAGTAAAATAATTGGTTTTGCCGTTTTCGTGTAATGTTGGTCACCGACTTTGAAAACACCATTTCGAGAAAAACGCGTTTAAATTTTGGCCTTGTACTTCCAAGCGCTCAGAAACGCCTTCTCAAATTTGCGAGTAACTTCGAATTTATATTTTCGAATATTTTTTTGAAAATTCTAACTGTATATAACCCCATAAACTATCACTACAATTTTTTTTTTTTGATTTTGATCAATTAGTAATTTTTCGTATGCGAAAATGTTTAATTTTTTTTACTAACGAATTGTTGCCACAAATGGAAAATCTTTAAATTTTTTTCCATCAAACTGTTGCCATATTAATAAAAAAAAAATTATACGAATTTTCAAAAAACAAAAACATGAATTAATCGATATTTTCTTTATCAGAATATGCCAATAATTCACAATTTAAGGGGCACACCTAGTATGTCCGCCCAAAAGGGGATCGATTTTTGGAAAATAAAACAGTTTTATATCGATCTTTTCGGTACATATTTATACATGCTTCAAAAATACAAAGTGAAATTTTTGAAAAAGAAAAAAAAAAATTTCAAACTTTATCGCTCGTTTTCTATGCACATTTATGCAAGTTTCAAGAATATACAGTGATAGTTTTGAAAAAATAAAATATATTTTGAACCCATGTATACTTACACATGTCTTAAGTATATACAGTGAAGGTTTTGGAAAAAAAATTTAGACTATATCGCTCGTTTTCAATGCATCTTTATGCATGTTTCAAGAATACATAGTAAAAGTTAAAAAAAAAGTTTTTTAAACTGTATGGACCGTTTTCAGTGCATTTTACACAAACTTCAAGAATACACAGTGAAAGTTTTGGAAAAAAAAAAATTGTCTTCAGTGCAGTTTATACAAGTTTCAAGAATATAAAGTGAAAATTTGAAAACAAAAAATATTTCTTGAAATCGTATCGACTGTTTTTAGTATATATTTATACATGTTTCAAAAATACACCGCGAAATTTTTTATTAAATAAAAAAAATTGAATATTATTTGAGTTAGACGAGATTTTCAACGACCTAAAAATTAAAAATTTCATTTAAAATAGAAAATATGCTCCATACAAACCAAATTCGATCAAAAAAAATAAAATAAATAATAATAAAACATTGACAAAATGGTCGCGTTTAAACATAAAGTTAAAAAAATAAAAGATTCTAGTCATTTTTGACCTGCTAATATTCGATTTTGCACCAGATTAAAAAAACCGATCGATAATTGTGTATAGAATTATTAGCCGAAAAAAAATTCATGTTAATCGATTTTTTTTTATTTTCGCACTAGGTGTGCCTATTTAGTAACGAACTCACCAAATGTTTGTCGCATATACGAAGAGAAAAATATGCTAGAAATCATACATACATAAGTATATATATTATATCAGTAATTATTAGAATTCGTATAAGATATCAATTGCAATATATCTTCATAACGCAAGGTATTCTTCTGTCATTATATATGTCTATTATACTGCTTTTTAGTAAAGTGTCCATATTTTTATAAAATATAATATTTTATTGACAGTTTTTTTCTGTGCTAAAACGCGTTTTTCTACTCTGTGCGGTTTCCTTTTTTATCTCTAGTTATATAACTGCGTAGCAGTCGTCTGCCAGTTAAGTTGTGGTTAACGTAACCAATACTCTTTCTTACGGTAAACGAACTTTTTTTAAGCAAAACTTAATTTACAGTTGGCTGCTAAGTAGTCATTGAGTCATTTATAGAGTTTCTAGCAGATTTCAGGAGAAATTTAATTTTAAAATGTTTACATTTACGACCGTTTCTAAATTTAAATAATGCTTTTATTTGTAACATATTTATACACACTTTATTACAACGCTTAACTTAATTTATAAACACATATACTTTCTGTTCTGTTCATTTCAGTCCATGCATGCTGGCTAAATTATCAACACTAAGCTTCTACAACAAAAGAAAACAACAACACAAGCAAACACGTGTACGAACAAATTGACGACAAAGAAAGAAACTAAGAGACAAATTATGAAAGAACTTTGTTAAATCCTTAAACCAAAGAATTTCAAAAATTAACAAATAATTTAACTAAATTAAAGTTGCCATATTAAATTATTTACTATCAAAAATATAATATATTTGACCTAAAACAACGATAAATTTCAGTAAAATGAAAAAAATTTCGAACAAAACAACTAAAAACATTTCAAACATTTTGAGGTCAAAAATACCAAAATTTTCCATTTCGAAATTTATAAAAATTTTATGGAGTTAGGGAATTTGGCATTGCGTAACGGTAAATTTAAGCACAAATTCTTTATAATTAGAACAAAAAAATAAATGTAAAAACAAATAATAATTAAATATGAATTGAAATGTAAAGCATAAAGTGCTGTGCATGTCACAAACTATTTGCAGCCACTGTATTGCTGCGTGAATTGCATATATTTATTGTGAAACTTTTTTTGTTTTTTTACAAATTTCACTATATGCTAAATAAATATACTCGATTGTACACATGTAATGCGCTTTTTCTATATTTGCAACAACAACAAACATACACACAGCATATATGCTACAATAAACAAATTGTATTGCCCAGAATTTGTTTTCTGGGTATAGAATACGCTGATAAAAAATAATTACTCGGAAAAGCCAGCCTCAATTCTATATAATTTCAAATGACTCAGCCAAGTTAAACTGCCAAGCGCAATTGCTATAAAATTGTTTTTATTATAAATACATAAATATGTATGTATGCATACATACGTGCCATATGACGTGGAAAAAACATTGGTTGTAAGCATTAGAGACAAACGCAATCAGCTTACGCGGCAGTGTGCGCGCGTCTAAGCGAAGTGGAAACTTTTTTTCTGACGTCAGGCGAGTTTAGTGCATTATTTTTCAAAATAAAAAAAATTTCACAAAAGTAGAAAAAATTTTAAAAATTAAATTAAATGTTTTTAATAATTTTTTCACAAAAAATTTGTAAAT